AATGTTTATAAAGCGCAATTTGGAATTATTTACACAATATAATCACTCTATAACATAGAAAAGCATCTTTAAAATATTAAGCTATATTTTTTTCCTAATATTCAAAATCAAAAAAGTCCACACAGTTTTTGTTTTTAATTTTTTTTTGTTTAAATTTTCGTAATTAACTTTATTTTTATTAAAAGATAAATTGATTGTTTTTGATTTTTTGTTTGTGTTTTTTATATGATTTTTGTTGTTGTTGGTTTTGTATAATACAATTTATACGTTAATTACAATTAATTTTGAAATATTCTATATATGTATAATATATATGGTATTCTTTATTTGTGTATACAGACTTATAATTAAATGATAGGAAAACAAAAAATAAAATTATAATAATTGTTATAATCTAAGAATAAAATATATATGTAATTCGAACACACGTTTTTTGTTTGTTTTGTTTTTGTTGTGGATGATGTGAGTGATATATAAAAATTTTGTGATGAAATATTTGAGGTTATATATTTTTTTTAATTTTTGCTAAAAACTAAGAGTTCAGAAAACAAAAATATTAAAAATATAGAATAAAATTTAGCATAAAATAACTGGCAAACATAAAATAGAAAATGAAAAATTAATTTGAAAACTTAAACAATAATAGGACAGTTATTATTTGTCAATATACAGATTTTAATAATTATGTATATATAAAGTCTAGAGAATATATATTCGGGCAATATATAATAACTTGGCAAAAATTACCCTAATTATAATTACGGCAATTTTTTCTTCTGCATAATTTAATGCCTTGGAGTAATTGAAACTCGTAAACTGCACAATTATATAGTCACTTAAATACTTTAGGGGAAGTTTGTTTGCTATTCTTAGATTGGGGATATATTTGGGGGGGTAGATACCCCATTTCTTGTTTATATATATTTTTTATTTATAATAATTATTGGCAATGAAAATTTTTGTATGTATACATATAACTATAATCATTTTTTTTTTGTTTTATTCAACATTTAGTTTTACTGGTCTAGATGAGGAGAGGGAGGGAGGTTTATAAAACTTGTTCGTTATTTGTGTTATTGAATTATTTTATATAGACAGACACATTGTATATTAGCTACACACTATATATATTTTTGTATGTATATACGGTTGATTCCTGTTCTATTTTGTTGTGGTAGCCATGGTAGGAGAGAAAAATTAAAGGAAACATATAATAATCACATATTTCATATATGGATGCTATATATATAAATATACAATTACTTTAAATGTATTTCCATTATTTTCTTTTCTGTTGTTTTTGTTCTGTAACAGGAAGATAGGGTGGGGATTTAGTTACATTAAACATATGTATGTATTTATTTTTAATTTACTTTTAGTATTTATTTTTATATATAAAATCCATTAGAGTTTAATAATATTTAATTATTACAAACCATTGATTTACTGGCTTATGGTTATGGTAGTATAAAACTTGTATGCAAATTCATTGTATGTTTTGTTTGTATGAATTACCATTGAAATAATGGGAATTCATTAGCATATATATATATATATATACAGTGGTGGCCACAGAATTAAAACATTTACTGTGGTAAACATTTTTTGATCAGCCCTCGATTCGTTTGAAGTATTTTTGAAAATTTTTTAATTCAGAACACTTCGATATACTGCACTTAAGAGATTTAGTGTGGAAATGGAAAATTATTTCATGCAATTTTTCCATAAATAACGGTTTTTATGAAAATACATCGACTTTGAAGTGGCCATATAATTAAAACATTGTGTAATTTTTTACTTTACTGCATTTTTTTTTTAATATTTTTTAAAAAAGCTCTTTAATTTAGTTAAATTATGTAAACTAAGCACCGATAAAATCATTTACTGATAAAAATTTTTGAAAAAAATCTGTAAAATCTATCAAAATTGCCAACAATTTGTACAGTACACCTAACATTCAGAAAATCACCTTTATTATAGAAAATAAAGGTCCGAATGCACCAGAAATTGCTAGAATTAGTAAAAAACAATAAATAATTCTCAAAATAAATAAATATTTGAAATAAAAACTCAAAAAATGGGAATTAACCTAAAGGAACGATTCAATTTCAATAGCCTTTACTGAAGAAGGCCGGAATATTTTTGCAGTATGTGAGAAAATATCGATTGATATTGGTATTTATTATATCAAATCGATTGTTCGAGTAGTACAGAATATATTTAATCAAAAAATTTATCAGTCACAACAGAACGAACAGAGATCAACACCTATGTTGACGAGAAAACGTTTCTGGTACACAGCAGCATGTTTGATGGTTAACTCTTGACCCTTCAAATCTATTGAACATGACAATATTTTTCCAAAATAATATTTTTTGGAGAGAATAATGCCCATTTAATCTATTTTAGCCTAAAAGAAAGAAAAATTTTACAATTTGACAAATATTTAAAGTCTTGTGTTGAGCATCAAAAATGCTGCTGTGTGGCGGAATCTTTTACTCGTCAACATAGGCATTGATCTCTGTTCTTTCTGTTGTGACTGGTATATTTTTTGATAAAATATATTCTGTACTACTCGAACAATCGATTTGATGTAATAAATGCCAATATCAATCGATATTTCCTCACATACTGCAAAAATATTCCGGCCTTCTTCAATAAAGGCTATTGAAATTGAATCGTTCCTTTAGGTTAATTCCCATTTTTTAAGTTTTTATTTCAAATATTTATTTATTTTGAGAATTATTTATTGTTTTTTACTAATTCTAGCAATTTCTGGTGCATTCGGACCTTTATTTTCTATAATAAGGGTTATTTTCTGAATGTAAGGTGTACTGTACAAATTTTTGGCAATTTGATAGATTTTACAGATTTTTTTCAAAAATTTTTATCAGTAAATGATTTTATCGGTGCTTAGTTTACATAATTTAACTAAATTAAAGAGCTTTTTTAAAAAATATTAAAAAAAATGCAGTAAAGTAAAAAATTACACAATGTTTTAATTATATGGCCACTTCAAAGTCGATGTATTTTCATAAAAACCGTTATTTATGGAAAAATTGCATGAAATAATTTTCCATTTCCACACTAAATCTCTTAAGTGCAGTATATCGAAGTGTTCTGAATTAAAAAATTTTCAAAAATACTTCAAACGAATCGAGGGCTGATCAAAAAATGTTTACCACAGTAAATGTTTTAATTCTGTGGCCACCACTGTATATACAAATCATCATGGCCTAAAGATGGTTTAAAATGGATTTTGAAAGGGTTACAAACCAATTGGGAACGATAAACACGTTTTGTGGTGAATTAAACAGCAATAGAATGGCTGTAGATTGTTTAAAATAATTCCAAAAATATTTTTTCTTGTTTAGAAATGTTTAAAAAGTGTTTATTTTTCATTTGGTGAAATTTCCGAACCGTGGTGAGTTTCCATGGAAATTCACCACACCAAGTTTTTTGCGGAAAATGAATCAGAAAAATATTTCCAATCCAAAACAGCCAACGAAAAGTTTGTAGTTGTAATAAAAATTGAATTCACCACTTTTAGAACTTTTAAAAATTATCGAAAATATTTAATTTTTATTTAGAAATATTTTAATGGTGTTTTTATTTCATTCTGTGGCATTTTTAAGCCGTGGTGAGTTTCTATAGAAATTCACCACACCAAGTTTTTTTATAGAAAATGTATCATAAAAATATTCAGAACTTAAAATTGCAATCGAAATTTTTCTAGTTGTTATAAAAATCAATTTCACCACCATAAGAACTTTAAAAACTTATCGAAAAGAATTTAATTTTTATTTAGAAATGTTTTAAAGGCGTTTCTATTTCATTCTATAGCATTTTCAAGTCGTGGTGAGTTTCTCGAAAAATTCACCACACCACCTCTTTTGCAAAAAAATGTATCAGAAAAACATCTCTAACCCAACACAGCCAACGAAATATTTCACCACTATAAACATTTTTAAAAATTGTCCAAAAAATTGAAAACTTGTTGAATTTTTTTGAAAAGGATTTGGAAAAAATATTCTTCAAAATATTTTTCATACATAGAAATGTATAAAATAACCACATTTTTCTTTTTTCTTCAATTTTCAGGTCGTGGTGAAATTTTCAAGAAATTCACCATACTTATTTTCTTTCAGAAAATAATTCTTCTAATCATTTCGAAACGAAAACCAACAATCGAAAATTTTTTACATTGAGTTTTCTACACTTTCACCACTATTGAATCTCTATAATAATTCCAAAAATTATTTTTTATACACAGAAATGAATGAAAAGTCCTAATTTTCCTTTTTCCGCAATTTTCAACCCGTGGTGAGTTTCTTGAGAAATTCACCACACGAAGATTATTCCACAAAATGTAATTCCAAAACATTTTCAAACGAACCCCGTTAATCAAAAATTATTTCCCTGCATTTTAAACCATTTTTTAGCCATGGTGAATTTTTTTATTTCATTGTTTTTTAATTACTGGTTTTTCAATTCGTTCCTTTATTTATTCGTTACATTGAGCAATTGGTTTCTTCTATTTTTCTATCATGTTACTGCTTCCTTTAATGTTTTCTTCCGGTTATATTTTTTATTATTTTTATATTAATTATTTATTTTTTATTTTATTAAATATTTCATGTATTAATTGTATAGATATATATTGATCACTTTTTGTTGTTTGCTTAAACACTAATTATTAATTCTTATCAACTAGAGAAAGAAATGAAATTAAAAATTAAAAACTTTTCTTAAAAACACAGCTATATTTTGTTTGCATCATTTTCTCCGGGAAACTCCATTCATTACCATTTTACTTTTTTTCTTTAGACGGACAATCAACTATTTCGTCGTATTTTCTTCCCTTATACAATCCACCTCCTTTCACGTTTTTGTCTCATCATGATCATGATTACTATTGTCCGTGCCCAGTTGCTTCCACTTCTAGCTCCAAAAATCCACCATATTGACTAGTTTGCATTTTTTGAGCTCAAGTTTTGTGGGTCGGGCACGAAGTCAAGCACGTCCGAAAATGGCCGACACATCGCCAGTCGATTGCGAATGTGACATATTGATATTGTTATTCGAGGCTGTGGTATGATGCGAGGAGCCATTCAATTGCGGCACATGATGACCATTGTGATGGGTATGACCCAGTGTGGCAATGCCGCCGTATTTGATCGATGATGTTGAACCCACGGTACCGGTTATCAAGTGTTTACGTGATGCAGATTGTGTAAGATGTGAATTGCTGTGACCACCCACTAGGGTGCCATTGGAACCACCTGTGGTTCCGTAGAGACGATGCAACGAATATTGTTGCACGGATTCGAGATCTGATACCGATGATGTTATCTTCGAACGCACAGCCATTTTTTGCATGCTATTGTACTTATCACCAGCCGATAGCTTAATGTCGGGTAAATGACCTGAGGACTGAGCATGTGTGGGATGCAGTGATGTGGAGACATGATGATGGCTGCCACTGCCCCCATTGGTAGTTGATGTGGTCATGTGGGGTATGTTTGTGGAGCGTGTCGATTTGTTGGTTGTGGTGGTGATGGCAGCATTGCTAACGGTTGTGGTGCTGGTAATGGAGGCCACAACGGGACCGCTGCCACCGCCATTCGCGGCCGAGGGTGAGATATCGGCAAAACTGTAACACGATGATTTCTGCGAGGATGAATTGAGTCCACCGGTGGATGATGATGTTGACATGCGACACGAACGATGACGGGAAGACGAAGATGGTTGCAAGAACTCGTGATGAGCGGCCTCATCGGGGGTCATACGCTCCGCAGGATCCCATTCCAGACAACGATAAAGGAAATTAATGAAATGACGATCTTGACATACCAACACCTGGGAGAGGTTTTTGGTGCCGGGGGTGCGTTTGCGACCCTTCGAATTTGTCACGCAACGCGGGGCACCACGTGAATCGAAGAACAGACGACGTCTGGTAGCTGTGGCAATGAGATCTTTTGGCGGCAGTCCAAGTATTTCCATAATGCAGGCTAGCTGTTCGACTTCATTTTCGCCGGGGAACAAGGGGAAGCCGGTGTAAAGTTCGGCAAGAATGCAACCTGGAAGGGGGAAGGAGAGAGATGGTTATTAGGGGTTTAATAGAACATGAGTTTCATAAGAATTTCACCACACCTTTATTTTGGTCTAAAATCGTCCGAAATCATTTATTTCAATCAAATTTGGTGTCTCGATCAATCGAAACCATTTTTAACGCCCTTTATTGTATATTGCTTCAATAAATGTATTTTCCTTCTATATTTTATATCACGACATCATTTTCTTCCCTCCTTCCACTATTTATGACATTTTTTCCTTCTTCCCTGTAAACAATGCCTTAATACACTGCTTATGTTCCCCTTATCGTCTTACATTATCTCTCAATTAAGCTTTTCCTTCGCACTGCAGCCTGTGAATTTATTTGTAGAAGGTCAATTTTCCATGACATGGCCGGCAATTAACCAGGAAACTCTATACATTAGATTTTATCACAATGATAATTTGTAAAAATTTGCTACATTCACAAACAATGGCCGAGGACCAGGAGGAAACAAAAACAGAAGAATATTTTTCTCATAGCCTTTCCTGTAACAATATGCTAGCATATGTTTACGTATTTGTGTATATAAATTACAGGATATTTGCATGGCTTGTTGTTGCTTTTATTATCTAAATGCTATTTAATGTATATAATACACAAAAATATGATGTACATAAAAGTCTACATAAAGGGAAGAAAATGTGTGAAGATATTTGATTCTCCTTTTCCGAGAAGATTTGTTTGTTTGTAAGTCCATATAAAAGAAAATGTTCGGGATAACCTTTTTAATATCAGTTGTCCTTATTTGTTCCGCATGGTCTTCTCTTATTTCAAAATAAAGTGAGGCCAAGGATTTGTACATTATCCTTGCTGACTGGTTGTTTGGCTAGGGCTATTTGCACAGATTAATTACGCACGTGCGTGTTAATGTAAAAAAAACGTTTCTTCATACGATATTTGCAGATTTATTCAAAGCATTTCTAAGCGGAAATTGTTATTGGACATTTATGTAGATGATTTTTTTTATTTTTCCTTTTCATTACAATGTAAATGGACTAGAAATTGAAAAGCATGAAAAAGGAGAGAGAATGACAAATAAAACTTCCAAGAGTTTCTAAATGTGAAATATAGAAGGACATCTTTGTAAGAGGGCAAAACGAAGAACATATCAAACTAAGGAAAGGAAAGCTAAGGAAAATATTTAAAATTTTAAAGATATGACTAGAAAGGGAAATTGTTTAAAATTTAACAGGAGAATAATAGAAGTTTAATGAAAATTTAAATATGCTGGAAAATATAGAAAGGAAATTTAAAAATTTCTAAATAAAAAAATATATGTAAATAAAGCTTATCAAATTTTTTATAGAAAAAGTTTACATTTTTAAAAAAACTGAGTTTTTTTTATTAACTTAATAATAAAAAATTAACCTCATGTTTTGTTATTAGAATGTAGAAATTGGTGTCAAATTTTCAAAAAGGAAAGGAAATTCCATTTTTAAAGTTTGATTGGAATGAAAAATGTTAAAATTCCTGATTTTCAAAAAAATTTCGGAGTGGTAAGTTTTTTGAGAAATTCACCACACCTTGGTTTTCACTGGGAATTAATAAAAATTCACTCTAATTCGATAATTTTTCAGTTTTTTGATATTTTAAAGTTGTACGTAGCATTTTTAATAGAAAATTTAATTTTTTGAAGTTAAATAAATTTCACCAGGAAGGAATATGCCAGGAAGGAAAACAGAATCCATTTTTTTAGGTTTTATTGGAATGGAAAATTGTTACATTCCTGATTTTCAAAGAAATTTTGGAGTGGTGAGTTTTTGGGAAATTCACCACACGGGAAATGCATTATACAAAGATAATTTTTCTATATTTTGGCATAATTAAGCCTGATTGTGCAATTTTATTAAAGAAAATACATTTTTCTGTACCTACGAAAAATATCAACCCTCTGTAAGATGCCGGAGAAGAAAGGAAGATACATTTTTATATGGCTAATGAGGCAAAAATGTGCCTCATCGAAATATTTGGTTATAGACTCCACGTTTGTTTTAAACCAAATCCGCTACCGAGAATTAGCAGACGATTTACAAATGTGTGTTTGCCCGTCTGTCTGGTTGGGGCGGAAGATAACTCACAATGGAAGTAACAAATACAATTAAACTTTGCACTTTAAAATATTTGTGATAAAACTTAAATGAAGTTTCTTATGAAATTCACCACACCTTGTTTTTAATTGAAAATTATTCAAGTCTAGTTTTTACATAGTCTCTAAGGCAATTTTCGTGAAGAAACATAGAAGAAAATAAAAATTAACTCTCTGCTACTTATCTATCCTAGATTATTCCAATTTTTCGTCAAAATGTTATTTTTAACTAAATCTACAAGCGATTTTTCACCGATTTCTGCAAAATTTCATGTGTGGTGAGTTTGTTATGAAATTCACCACACCTTGTTTTTTATTGGAAATTATTCCAAATTAATTTCTACACTATTTACAATGTCTTTAATGACTTTTAATGCAGTGAAAATCATTTTTAGGACATATTTTTGGCATTCTAAACAATATTTGAGTATAATTTTGAATAAAACTCAAAAAAAGTGCATCCCCTAGTATCTCACCATTTTTGTGATTTTTTATCAGCATTTTATTTTTATACTTAATGTACCGACTATTACCTTTCGATTTCTGCAAAATTTGATGTGTGGTGAGTTTCTTAAGAAATTCACCACACCTTGTTTTTTATTGGAAATCATTCTAAATTATTTTTCCACCTTTTACAATGTATTTATTTATTACCTTTCGATTTCTGCAAAAATTGATGTGTGGTGAGTTTCTTAAGAAATTCACCACACCATGTTTTTTATTGGAAATTATTACAAATCAATTTTTACACTGTTTTTATTATCTCCAATGGCTTTTTATACAATGAAAATAATTTTTAGGCAATATTTTCATTATTTCCTTCTAGTCAACTACGAAAATAATATTTCATTTTTTTGTATACTGCCTTCATTTAAAACCCACAAATGTATATTTTTTTGTTTTCTGTCTTACATATCTATCCACTCATGTCAGTGTTCATCCTCCCCCTTGTAATTTAATTAAATTTCCAAAGAGTGAAGAAATAGCATCCCTGCATCGAACCTCCAACCTCATTCAATTGAATGTCCTACTGCAATGAATTTCCATGTTTTGTGGTTTACAACACAAACACACCAACACAACTTGTTGTCATCCAATAGCATTGCAGGGGATTTTTCCCATTCGAATCTTTACCAAAAACAATATATTGCTTAGGATTGTGATACTGATTATGACGATGACGTTGAATCGACCCGTTTTTTTGTTTAAATAATTGGCGTTTAGTCAAGGATTCTGCTGCTGTGTTCAAGTTTATGATGATGCCCTGCAATATACTCTCTTGAGTATTTTTAATTTTCTAGCTGGCCATTTGCAAATGGTGTTTTGTGGGCCCAAGCTAAATCATTTGGCCACTAAAATTTATGTTCTACAACATCAACAAACAATAACAAAAATCAAAAAACAAAAACCTACCATATAAATGTATGAATGTGGTTTTTAATAGCAAAAAAAGGTCAAGGTCAGTAGTGCAGAATTAGAAAACAAGTTTGCTGGAAATTAGAAAATAAAACAAGTCGATTGCCAGATTACTCTTGGTGGAATGAATGGGGGGTAAAGAAAATGTTTGTAATTATTTGATACTTGTTTTTTGTTTTTAATTGCTCTTGCTTGGCACAATGATTCAGCAAAGGATGCAACAAGGATAGAGATTTGTTGTAATTATTATTGCTGATTAAAAAATAAGGGATTAATTAAGGTAGATGATTCACTTTTTTTTACAAAGAGCTCAATTGTGCCATTTTTAAGATCCATTACGGATTTCATGTGAAAAAATATTTTTTCTTAAAATGTTAAGAAAATTTTTTCTCTACAAAATTCTTTGAAAATATCTTTGTATTTTCCCCCCATTTAATTAATTTTCATTTATATATAAATATAAACGAAATGAAAGTTTCATCTCAACTTGTCAGCTCAACTCATTAGCCATATTAATAATTATTTCCTCTTAAACGCCTTGACAAATACACATTTCATTTTAATCCTTTATGATGAAGCTCGGAGAGGCAAAGTGAAGGGCGAGAGGTAAAACAAATGTGGAAAAAGTGTTGAGGCAAGAAATGAATTCAAACTAATGGAAAGTCACACATATTCAGATTAGCTGTCATATATAAAAATACATATATGTATATGAATATATAACTGTGACATATATGTATATAGAAAATAAAAATAAAGACAATGATAAATTAAACATAAGTTTGTATGGAAAGTCAGGAAAAAAATTAAATTGATTTCGAATTTTGTAATAGTTTTTAAAAATATTAATTTTTAATATTTAAATTAAAAATTTAAAAATATATAAAATTTATATATTTTTAATTATTAAATTAAATTTTTAGAATATAAAATATCCTACGCCATACTAATACTAGCCAATTCCATATTTTTAAGATACATTGGTCCTCCATGGATCAGAGTCCATGTACGATTTTCAGACCCAATATTTTTGGCATATTTCCATATGCCTTTAATATGCACCCTAATATTCACTTTATTTGCAAGGATAATTGTGCAAAAGGCAAACATTCTTTCTGTATATACAACATATGTTTATGATGTACGGATGTAGGTATGCTTGTAAATATGTTTGATCATATTCCGGAACAAGACATAAAAGTATGTGTGTGTTTACATTTTTAATTAAAAATATGCATTAAACAAAATGTTACTAATTTGTAGATGCAAATAATATTTATATATACATAACATTTATATATATTTGTTTAAACAGTGGGAGTTAAAAAAAATGCTTAAAAAAATCTACACCTTACTGTGGAGCTTATAAAAAATTTTTAAAAAAATCTACGCCCAATGGAGAGTTCAGAAAAAAATTCGTTAAGAAATCTACGCCTTACTGGGAGCTCAGAAAAAATAGTTAAGAAATCCACGCCTAACTGGGAGCTCAGAAAAAAAATCTTTAAAAAATGTAAGCCTTACTGGGAGCTCGGAAAAAGAGCTCATAAAGAATTCTTTAAAATCTACTGGGAGCTCGGAAAAAAATATGTAAAAAACCTATTCCTTACTGGAGCTCAAAAAAAAATCTTTAAAAAATATACGCCTTACTGGGAGCTCAGAAAAAAAATCTTTAAAAAATATACGCCTTACTGGGAGCTCAGAAAAAAATCTTTAAAAAATCTACGCCTTACTGGGAGCTCAGATAAGAGTCTTTAAAAAATCTACGTCTTACTGGGAGCTCAGAAAAAAGTCTTTAAAAAATCTACGCCTTACTGGGAGCTCAGAAAAAAATCTTTAAAAAATCTACGCCTTACTGGGAGCTCAGAAAAAATCTTTAAAAAATATACGCCTTACTGGGAGCTCAGAAAAAAAATCTTTAAAAAATATACGCCTTACTGGAGCTCAAAAAAATCTTTAAAAAATCTAAGCCTTACTGGGAGCTCAGAAAAAATCTTTAAAAAATCTACGCCTTACTGGGAGCTCAGAAAAAAAATCTTTAAAAAATCTTCGCCTTACTGGGAGTTCAGAAACAGTTGTTTAAAAATCTACGCCTAATCTTTGATATTTAAAAAATATACGCCTACATCAGCCATTGAGACTATTTTATTTTTGTACAAGCACATATTCGCTACTTCGTTAGCGAATGTGGGAAGTATTTAAAATCCAATACCGACCATTACGAACGTTTTAGAACCATTTAGTACCTATTCCAAATTTCATTATTGTATCGGTTCACCTAATCCATTTGTATCACATACCTCAATCCAAAACCCCAACCACCATTTAGTATCATTTAGTACGCATTAGTAGTACCCAAAATTCAAATTGTAACAAATTTAGTACAATTTAGTACCCATAACTATGAGTTTCCAAAAAGACATCGATATCCCAATCTTACACTCCAACAATAACCATATTTCCAAAATTTCAGTGCTCCAGCTCTATTGGTACACCCAAATCCTCATTTGGTACATACTAGTACGAATTTCAAAAACTTTCTACAAAGTCCAATCCTACACCCCATCAGTGATCCTAACAACAAATTTGAAGAGTCCAGCTCTATCGGTTCACCCAAATCCCAATTTGGTACCATTTAGTACACATTAGTACGACTTTCCAAAACTGTCTACAAAGCCCAATTCTACATCAAAAATATGATCCTAACTCCAAATTTCAGGTTCCCAGCTCTATAAGTTCACCCAAAATTCAAATTGTAACAAATTTAGTACCCATAAGTATGAATTTCCAAAAAAGTTACCGAGATCCCAATCTTACACTCCAACATTAACAACATTTTCAAAATTTCAGTGCTCCAGCTCTATCGGTACACCTAAATCCACATTTTGGTACACATTAGTACGAATTTCCAAAACTTTCTACAAAGCCCAATCCCACACCCCATCAGTGATCCTAACAACAAATTTGAAGATTCCAGCTCTATCGGTTCAGCCAAATCCAAATTTTGGTACCATTTACTACTTACCAAAACTTTATACAAATCCCAATCCTACATCAAAAATATTATCCTAACTCCAAATTTCAGGTTCCCAGCTCTCACCCAAAATTCAAATTTTACCAAAATTAGTACCATTTAGTAGCGCTAAATATGAATTTCCACACCTACATCCAGTGATCCTGACTCCATATTTCATTGTTCCCGCTCTACCGTTAACCCTAATCCAAATTGTACCAATTATAGTACGATTTAGTATTTTTCGTACACATAAGTACAAACTTTCCATAACTACGTACATACTCTAATCCTACTCTCCGGCGATAATGTTAATTTTAAAAATTGAACCTCCAATTAAAAATTGTACAAATATATATAAAGTACTCCGTATAATGAGTACACTATTTCAAAACCATCTCCTTATATCGATCATACTTCTCAACCTTAATTTGCATTCCAAATTTCAAGTTTTTAGCTCTACGAAATGTCCCAAATTTAGTACATTTTAGTACTTTTCGCATACTTATAGTTCGAAAGTCCAAAAAATCTTTTGTTATCATTTAAAATTTAGGAGTTCTACTCTGCCGATTCGCCAAATACAAATGGTATCACGTTTTCTACTCTTTAGTACTTTTCGTACCGTTCTAGTACGAATTTCCAAAAACCCAGCATTATCTGTCACCTTTGGACCAAGAGTGACCCTCACCCAATTTCAATATTCATCAACGCCCAGACGAAACGGCTTAAGTCTGGGCGTTGATGAATCCTTAAATCAGTCATTCAGTCAATCACTTTACTCTTTTATTAGCATAAGATTTGTTTCCCACTGTAATTTTTTGGCTTATTGCATCCTTTACTTTCCTTGATTCGTATTTTTTTAATTTTTGCTGTTTCATTTTTATTTGCCCAGTGTGAATATAACTAAAGTATGTCATATATATGCATATATATATGACAATTTTGTATTCCTACAATGCGACACCAAGGGACACATTGCTGATTGGCAACAAAATAAAGAAAAACCCACACAAATACACACAGAGACCAGCACAACACTCACCTAAACTCCACATATCAATGGCAGTGCCATATTGCAGACCCAATATGACTTCGGGTGAACGATAGAATCTCGATTGGATGTAGGTGTAGACTTTGCGATTGACATAACATGAGCTGCCAAAATCAATGACCTTTATTGAGCTGCTGCCACGCTGTTTAAGGAGTATGTTTTCCTAAGGGAAGAGGAGAAAAGAAAATGTAATTTAATTAAAAAAAAAATTAAAAGAATTTCAAACTTACCGGTTTGAGATCACAGTGTATAATATTCTCTTTATACAACAGGCGCAGGCATTTTACAATGGAATTGCAAAAGCGACGAATTAGACTCATGCTAAAGCCATTGTAGTTGTTCTTCTTGATCAGCTCATATAAATTAAGACTGAAATGAGAAAAAGAAGAAGAAACAAGGAAGAATTAGTATTTATTTTTCTTTCGGAAAGATTTGCATTTTTTGATAAAAAAAAAATACCAAGCAATTATAGTTGTTGTTTATTTAAATAAGAAAAAAAGGTCCCAAAATAAGGAAGAGTATTTTTGTTTGTTATATTTTATTTATTACAAGAAACCATAAAAATATATTAACCTTGTCAAATTATATTTTGTATTTATTTATTTTTTCCTTTTTCCACCCTCACAAAATGTCCTTGTTCTTTTAGAAGTTTTGTTGCTATTTTTTTTATTATTTGTATAATATAATAACTAAAAAAGGCTTATCAGTTAATTAATCAGTTTTTTCCCAAAAAGAAAGGTAAATTTAATATTTTTTACATTAGTATGTGCGTTTGTTTTGTTGGTTTCTTTCCTTCTAATATAACCCATGAAAAATGCAATATTTTTTCTTCCTAAGAAAAACATCAAAACCGGGGTAGGTTTTTTGGGTTTTTTTATTCTGCCATTTCGTCATCGAAATATTTATTAAACATGCAATGCAAATTAAAACCACATAAAAAATATATAACAAATAAAAAATAATAACATGAATCCTTATTAACCCACACCGCAAGGAATATGACTTACTGCTATTGAAGGGGGTGAGGGGAGGCCAAAGAACCCACTCAAAAATGACTCTAGAAGTCAAAATAATTTGTAGACATTTTTTCCTCATTATTGAGGAAATATTTTAATTTTTTTCTGAACTCAGACTGCGTTTTACTGGAGATAAATTACTTTTTTTTTCAACCCCAGTAGGTGTAGTTTTTCAAAAAAAAAAAAAAATAAATAAATAAATAAACTCCACAAACGGCGTAGTTTATAAAATAATTTTTCTACAACTCCCCAGATGGCGTAGTGTTTAAAAAGAATTTCTCTACATCTCCCTAGAGGACGTAGTTTTTCAAATTATTTTTATTTAGAACTTCCTAGAGGGCGTATTTTTTCAAAGTATTTTTTTTTTGCAACTCCCTAGAGGGCGTAGGTTTTCAAAGTGATTTTTCTACAACCCCCAGAAGGCGTGGTATTTTTACAACTCCTTAGAATGCGTGATATTTTCAAATAATGTTTTTACCACTCCCCAGAAGGCGTAGGTTTTTAAATATATTTTTTACAATTCCCCAGAAGAAGTGTTTTTTCTGAAGAATTTTTCTACAACTCTCCATATGGTGCAAAATTTCAACAGATTTTTTTTGCAACTTCCCAGAACGTAGTTTATCACACTTATTGTTCTACAGCTCCCTAGAAGGTTTAGTTCTTTTGAATAATTTTTCTACATCTCCCCAGAAGGCGTAGTTTTTCAAACCAAATTTTTAATAACTCCCCAGATGGCTTAGTTTTTCAAAACAATTTTTCAATAACTCGCCAGATGGCGTAGTTTTTCAAAATATTTTTTCTACAACTCCCCAGATGTCGTAGTTTTTCAAAACTTTTCTACAACTCCCCAGATGGCGTAGTTTTTCAAAAATTTTCTACAACTCCCCAGATGGCGCAGTTTTTCAAAAAGAATTTTTCTACAACTCCCCAGATGGCGTAGTTTTTTTTTAAGAAATTTTCCACAACTCCCCAGATGGCGTAGTTTTTCAAATGCATTTTTTACAAATCCCATAGGGCGTAGTTTGTCAAAAGAATTTTTCTACAACTCCCCAGATGGAGTAGTTTTTCAAAAGACTTTTTTACAGCTCCCCAAAAGTCGTGGTTTTTTCTAAATAATTTTTCTACAACTCCCCAGATGGTGTGGCTTTCTTAAAGAATTTTTCTACAACTCCCCAGATGGAGTAGTTTGTCAAATACTTTTTACAGCTCTCCAGAGGTCGTGTTTTTTTCAAAAGTTTTTTTACAACTCCCCAGATGGCGTAGTTTTCCAGTAAACTTTTTCTACAACTACCCAGATGGCGTAGTTTTTCAAAAGAATTTTTTACAACTCTCCAGATGGCGTAGTTTTTCAAAAATAATTTTTCTACAACTCCCAAATGGCGTAGCTTTTCAAAATATTTTTTCTAAAACTCACGAGATGACGTAGTATTTCAAAATAATTTATCTACAACAGATGGCGCTGTTTTCAACAGTATTTGTTACAACTCCCCATTAATTAAAGACTTTTTTAAAACTCCCAAAAGCTGTAGATTTTTTAAAGACTTTTCCCAACTCCCCATGAGTTGAAGATTTTTTAAAGAATTTTTATAAATCCAAGAAGCGTAGATTTTTTTAAGATTTTATTTACAACTCCCCGCATTTTGTGGGTTCTAACATATATTTCTTCCTTTTTCTTAACCAAAAGTCTACCACGATCCACAAAACGGTTAATTTTATTTTGTTGTATATGTGCAACTGTCGGCATTGTTTCCTTTCTCCGTGCTGCTCATAAAAAAGGACTTATTTTTAGTCCATAAAAACAAAATAAAAAAACCCGAAAAAAACATCGAAAATAGCTTAAAGCCACAGAAACAATAGTCTTCGGGGTAATGGCTAAAGCCACTTATTTTTAAGCCGTAAGATAGGCAACACTTTACGGATTTGGAAGAACATTTTTCTAAAAGCCTTAAAGTAGACTAAATTGTGTCAAATTGTTTGGACTATTTCTATGTTGGAGAATAATTTTCTGAAAGCCGGAAAAGTTCCCGAAATTGTGTGAATTTATTTAGGTTTTGAAATATTGGCAAAACAGCAGCTAAAAAGCTATGCTCCTAAATGTAGGCAATATTAAAGGGATATAACAACAGCTGAGCTTACATTTTTGCATTTTGTCCTTATTCTTGAATATCTCTCAATTCAAATGAAAATATCTTTCGGTGTTGTAAGTGCAAAAATTTATAGATTTTTTTCCAAAGACCTTATTTATTTTGCTGTGAAATAAAAATAGTCACCAAATGTTTTCATTTTCCAGGATTTGGTCTTTTGCCATTTGCTTCGTGCAAATACAAAAAAATGTTGGTCATGCTGCAGCAAATTTGTTGACATAAATTTTGTGGTTGTGTTTAGAAATCACCCACACATCACCCACAATCACATTTTAGAAAAAAAATGGTATATTTATTTGAACGAATCTAAATATCTAGGCAATGAAATATTTGTACAAGTGATCCTAGAAGTATGCAATATTTCATTTATATTTATTTTTTTAATTTTGCATATTTATTTTGGGTTGTAATTTTACATTGAACTACGAACAAAAAATAACTCTGTAAGACTGACGTATGTAAGAATTAATATTCCAAAAACATCCTACAAGTATGCAATATTTTTAGAACTTTTTTCAGCATATGATTTGGTCAATCATTTTTTACAGCTCTTTATAATGCGTAGATGTTTTAAATAAATATTTTAATCTTCCCCATAAGGCGTATATTTATAGAAGAACATTCTATGAACTCCACATATGGCGTAGGTTTTTTCAAGAATTTTTCTCTGAACTCCACATAAGGCTTAGATTTTTTGCAGATGTTTTCTCAGCTGTCCATAATTCGTAGATTTTTAAAATAATTTTTTCTCAGCTCTCTATAAGTTATAGATTTATTAAATAATTTTTTCTCTGCTCTCCATAAGGCGTAGCTTTTTTAAAGAATATTTTCTCTGCTCTCCACAAAGAAAGCAGAGATAAGATGTAGATGTTTTAAAGAATTTTTTCTGTGGTCTCCATAAGCCGTAATTTTATTTAAAGATTTTTACACCATACCCCATTTTTAAATATTATTTTATAAGTAAAATACTTAAAAGGATTTCTGAATAATGTGAGTAAAATTTAATGTGCGTATGTCCCCTCAAAAGTAGGCAATTGATTTCAGTAAAATAAACAATCTATTAACCACTTGAAATATCATTAAAAGAAAATTGTTAGACGAACACGCAACAACGTTTAGAAAACATATATAAATAATGAATATCAACACTTCACGGTGGATTAAGGTGGCATAACCCAGTGCGTAGAAGTCCCTTTGTCTTTATTGGTAATATTGTTTGAGGTGGGTAACAAAGACAAATGAACCTTGAAATACACAAAATTTGCGTGTCTTTTTTAATATGATTATTGTTTGTTTATGATAATGTAAAAAAATTAGTTATCTATTTTACCCTGACTCTCCACCTGTCTCTGCATTTTTATTGTGATTTATTAAATGGTACAAATTATTTTAAATGTCAATATTAGTTATACAAGAAACCAGCAACAGTTGTTGACAAGAATAAACAAATTGTATTTTATTGCCTATCATATATGAGCAAGAAAATACAAATAATAATAATTGTTGCCTACTTTAAGGCGGTTGTTACTCATTAACTTGTAACTTTTTATAATTAATTATGCTTGCGTGTCATTGTTTTCTGTTATTATTTTTTTATAATATTATTTATCATTATTTGTTGTTAAAATAAAAAACGTATGTGGATAGATGGTAAAGTTTTTAATTTCATATTTCCCCGTTTGACGTAAATGTCATGGGACCTGATTTTTTTTTTCAAAACACCACAGAAACGTGTTTTAATGCAATTAAATATTAAAAAGTAAAATTCCTAGTCTGTTCCCCCCTCTCTCTCTCTCTCTCTGTAGTTCGTTCACTGTGTCATGGTACAGTTTGAAAATAAAAATGTCATTTTCTGCCCATAAAAGTAGGCTACTGAATGTTTTTCATTCACTTTTCCTTCCTGGTTAACCTTCGTCCAGGTAATTGTTGTGGTCGGGAAATGTGGTGAGATGGGGGGTCCAAATGTAAACACATGTTGTTTTATTACCTTTGGAATATTCTCCCTCAGCACCCACATAATATGCCAGACTTTCTATGCACGTTTTGTTCATTCATTGTTTTTTGCCCCCAAATATATGCAATGGAAATTTGTGGCTTTCTGTGTACACCACCTAGGAAAAAAGTGCATCGCGTGCGAATCGCAATTTCTACGATAATGTCAGATTGTTTGACATCAATTGGTTACAATTGTGCATACATTTGCGTTTTT